AGGGTTCCCAGATCCCAGTTTGGGGGTCCCAGATCCCAATTTGAGGGTCCCAGATCCCAGTTTGAGGGGTCCCAGATCCCAGTTTGGGGGTCCCAGATCCCAGTTTGGGGGTCCCAGATCCCAGTTTGAGGGTCCCAGATCCCAGTTTGGGGGTCCCAGATCCCACTTTAGGGGTCCCAGATCGCAGTTTGAGGGTCCCAGACCCCAGTTTGGGGGTCCTTGATCCCATTTTGGGGGTCCCAGATCCCAGTTTGGGGGTCCCAGACCCCGTTTAAAGAACCCAGATTACACTTTGAGGGTCCCTGACCCAAGCTGAGGAGTCCAGGACCTGAAGCCCCAGTTTGAGGGACCCAAACTCCACTGGGATCCTCCCAGATCCCAGTTTGAGGGTCCCAGATCCCAGTTTGGGGGTCCCAGATCCCAATTTGAGGGACCCAAACTCCATTTTACAGGCCCAGATCCCAGTTTGAGGGTCCCAGATCCCAGTTTGGGGGTCCCAGATCCCAGTTTGAGGGTCCCAGACCCACCACCAGCACACCAGGCGCCACCACAACTCTGGGAATTGGGATCAGAGGAGAAGTCCCGCTGTAAATCAGAAAATCCAGATCTGATTCCCGGCCTGATCCCACCCCTGTGTGTGCACGCTTTCCCACGGGTACCTTTGGGATTGCTCCAGCTGCAGTTGGTGTTTCCTGAAATAATCCACAGTTCTACACCCGAATTTCCTCCGGGGCCTCTCTTTTGGGCGATGTTTGGGGTTAAACAGGAACATCTGCAGCTCTCTAGGATGTGGGAGTTCATCAGGCTGAACTGCCAGGCCCTTCAATGGAGCAGCACGAGATGCCATCACCTCTGGGGAGTGCTGCTTTCAGGGGCAGAAATCCTCTTTTCACTTTCTGGAAATGTCAGGAGTTTTGAGGTGCTGGAGTCTGAGACAGAGTGTGTGCTCTTGTTCCTGATATTTAGTTCTAAAATCCAGAAAAACATTGAATTTCATATAACATGAAATTCACGAGCATGTTTTCATGTTGATACATGAAAACCAATGTTGAAATTGGATAGAAAAAGCTAAAAGTGTAAGTGTGCAGATTAGAAAGTTTTTTAAATCACTGGGTGAAAAAGTTTAGAAAACAGGAGACAAGATGGAAAATTTAAGGTGTTGTCCCTTGTTCCTTCTTCTTTCTTCTTCATGTTCTTCTCTTAGAGGTTTTTGGGTAATAGTCAGTGATTGGATAGAAAATGCCGCAGTGCATCACAGAGGTGATGGGTCATTAAGAAAAATAATATACATGTCTATTGTTAATTGGGTAAAAACAGGTATAAAGATAAAAGAACTGCGTATTTCGGGGCCGTTTTGTGCATCAGACACGAAATGTGCCACAAGGCCTTGTTTGTACCATCAGAAGAAAGAAATGTACCAAACTGCAAAGATTAACCTTGTGTAGCCAGCCTGGAGAGACCTGTTTTGTGATCACCTTTTAATAAACACGAGAAACAAAATTCTAACGAGCTCAAGAGTTTTCTTCGAATAATAAGGACGGAGATAAATGAGACTCCCCACCAAGGAAAATCCCAGAGGAATTCAGCCCAAAAGAAGCTGAGAGACTAAAGAAAAGATATATCCACAGAGAATTCAGCCCAAAAGAAGCAAGAAGAGAGAGAAATTACACAGTTGACTCAGCTCCAGCTGGCCACTGGCCAGGATGGCTCATCCAGCCCCTCATTCCCCTTGTCCACACACCCTGTCCTCCCATCCCGGGAGCAGAATCCATCACCTGTGTTTGTTGGGTGTTGGAAAAGGTAGAATCAGAAAGGAATTATAGATATGACTCCATTTGTAGAAATACAAATGAAAGCACAGTTTGAAGAATTCAAAGAAACCGGTCTGGCAAGCCAGAACACATTCTGTCCCCCAATAAAACTGGGACCCCTCTCCCCAGCCTTATAGGGAAAGGTCTGAGGGACCCTGAGGTAACTAAAAATATGCAAAAGAAGAGATTTCTATAGGTCACACACAAATGTTACTGTATTGGTATACTTAGAAAGATTGATTGGTGAAGGAATAGAATATTCAATGTATAGATTATATAAACAATTGTAAAGGAGAGCTCGGTCTCTTTTCCCAGCTCTCTCACTTCTGCTCTGTTCCTCTCTTTCTTAGCAATCTTAAATCTTGAATTCATGTCCTGAGCTCACAGAATTCATGTTCTACCCCTTTTTCTATTGTTCCCTCTGAGCCTGCTTTGAGCTCCATCTGCTGGCTCCTAGCAGGGCTCCCTCACCCACGCCCTGAAATAAACTCCCAACATCTAACTCGACAATGGAGAGGTCTCTGCCGTGTCCCAGACCGCCCGCACCCCGAAAAATCTCTTCCAGTCGGGCTCCAGGTGGTCGGTGATTGTCCATTTCTGCCCCGTGCCCAGCGCTCTCCAAGGGCCTTCCAGGGAGCCAACAGCTCTTCCCATTTTGTACTGGCTGTGAGCTGCTCCGGCTCCGAGCCCAGCTGCCCAGCAGGGCTGTGGGGACACGGGGGAGGCACAGCGAGGGCCAGCAGGGACGGGGCAGAGCCAGGGGAAGGGCTCTCCCAGCGCCCCTGGAATGTTTGGGGTTTGGATCCGGGTGACGGCCAACGGCCCATGGAACGTTGGGGTTTGGATCCGGGTGACGGCCAACGGCCCATGGAATGTTGGGGTTTGGATCCGGGTGACGGCCAACTGCCCATGGAACGTTTGGGGTTTGGATCCGGGCAATGGTCAACAGCCCATGGAACGTTGGGGTTTGGATCCTGGCGACGGCCAACGGCCCATGGAATGTTGGGGGTTTGGATCCTGGCAATGGTCAACGGCCCATGGAACGTTGGGGTTTGGATCCTGGCGACGGCCAACGGCCCATGGAATGTCTGGGGTTTGGATCCGGGTGACGGCCAACGGCCCATGGAATGTTTGGGGTCAACAGCCCATGGAATGTTTGGGGTCAACAGCCCCTGGAATGTTAGGGTTTGGATCCTGGCAACGGCCAACGGCCCATGGAATGTTTGGGGTCAACGGCCCATGGAATGCCTGGGGCTTGGACCCTGCAGCTGCCGACAGCTCTTGGGCCTTGGGGTTTGGACTTTGCAAAGGCCAATGGCACTCTGATATTGTGCTATTGACCCTGCAAAGTCCAACGGCCCTTGGACATCAAGATCTGGACCCAGCAAAGTCCAACGGCCTTTGAACATCAGGGTTTGGACTCAGTAAAGTCCAACAGCCCTTGGACATCAGGATCTGGACCCAGCAAAGTCCAACAGCCCTTGGATATCGTCTTTTAACCTTGCTACTGCCAAGATCCCGCGGCTATTGGCATTTGCCATGGCCCACGCTGCTCGTGCCAAGGGGCAGATGGAGATGCAGCGGGTGAGGAAGCCGCTGCTGGCCCTGTGGCCAGCCCAGGGGAGGCTGTGTGGGCCTGGGCTGTCCCACAGGGAAATTGGGTTCCCCTCGGGAATACCGAGGGATTATCAGCTGGCTGCTCTGGAGCTGGTGGCAGCTGCAGTGGGGACAAGCCTGGGAGGCAGAGGGGGGCTCCTGGCTTGGAAGGGTGATTCCCTCAGGGAGTCCGAGCGTGCTCTTCCCTGTGCTCCTCCAGGAACCTCGAGGGCTCAGGATGAGGCTGCAGTTCACTTCCCAAATCCATTCTTACCAGCGACGCTCCCCGGGAGCCCCGGAGGTGAGAGCGACGCTCCCCGGGAGCCCCGGAGGTGAGTGTGACCGTGCTGAGCCGGCTCGGGACCGCTCCGCAATGGGATTTAGGGAAGGCAAGCGCAGGGAGCCTGGAAGGGAGATGCTGCTGATTTGCGGAATAAAAGGAACCCCATAACTCACAGAGTAGTTATAAGAGCAGGTATGAATTTATTCAGCGCTGAGGTGCATGGGGATATCTCCTCCAAAAAGTATGCCCCCCTTTCTGATTTGATTTTCCCTTTTTATCCTTTATAGACCAGGTTTACACGATACACCTAATACATATTCATTTCCTAACCCTGCCTGTCTTCATATTACAATTAGCTCCATGCCCTTTTTAGTCTTTTTGGCCACTTTTTGGGACTTCAAATCCATTTCTTCCAGCTTAGGGTCCGAGGAATCTCCTTTATCCTGTGGTGCCTTTGTCTTTGCATCTTGTTTGTGTATTCCAGCTCCTTATCTCGTCTTGCAGTCTGACTCTTTTTCCTGTTCTTGTGGATCAGGGTGTCAGGGTCTGGGTTTTGTCAGACACCCCTTTTAGTCAAGCATTTTTTCTAATTCTTAATTTCTTTGTTTCACTGCCCTGCCGTGGGGCTCCTGCCTGCTCAGAGGGGAGGTGGTGTCTCTGTGTTCCCCCAAAGGAGATTGCTCTGTGTCCTAGTTTAGGGCAAATTAGGGAGGAAAACTCCAAACGGGGGTTTCCCCAGGGAAATGCCCCCTCCCCACCAACTGGTCGGGGAAAGGAAAAAAAATTCCTTGGAGAGAAGTGGAAAAAGCTGTTTATTTAACAGAAATTGAATAATATTAAATAATAAAACCTCTTGCCATTCGATGGGATGGCAAGTCTAGGAAGAAAAGTCCTTTTCATGTGGTGTAGCTTGGCTTGCTCAGGTCCTTATCAGTCCTTTCGGCCGAGGCCCAGGCCCCGGTGGGCCACAGGCGTGAGCTCCCGGGGTTTGGCTGCGTGTTCAGTCCAGAGCAGGCTTGCACAGATCCAAGAAAATTGGAAAAAAACAAAGGTCCAGGGAACTCCTCTGCCTCAGCTAGCTAAAACTAACTAAAAGTCAGAGAGAAGCTCTGTCCCGCTGTCTGTCCGTGCTGCAGACACCACAGTCCAGGAGCGGGGTGTGTGGGAGTGATGTTTTCCTTAACACACTGCGCGCTTCTTCTTCCCCCTCTCTTGCTCTCAAAGCCAGTCCTAAAGGTGCAAAACTTAATATATAACATAAACCAGACGATTTGGGGATACCAG